CCTAGCATAGATGTCTTAGGTTGGTTTCATTTGATACGTGTGTGAATTGTAGAGGGTTATGTCTGAAATGAAAGGAATCTTCATGGAAGTGCTAGTGGATCATTTATTAGATCTTGTTTTTAGTGTGGGCTTTTTTGGTGCTGCGGAGCAGTATTAAAATGAATCTTGTATCAAATATAAGGAAAGGACATTAAAAATTTATCTCAGTGAAAGAATTTTGGCTGGAACTGGAAATCAAAGTGTTTAGGTTCTTTTAAAAAATACTTTAGGATTTATCTTTATCACAGAGCTGATCATCTGCTTTGGTAGTACAGCCACATAGTTCCAGCCCTCTGCGAAGCTGAAGCAGAGGGACTGGGAGTTGAAGCCCAGCCTGGACAACTTAATGGCTTGGGGAGACTGTCAGCAGGGTGATCTGGGAGCCCGGAGCACAGTGCAGAGTGCAGAACTGCAGGCACCAGCACAGAGGCTCGCTTAGGGCCACGCGGCTGCTGCAGCTCCCTCGGGGATCGCAGTAGCTTTCTGGGGCCTGTGCAATGATCTACCATTAATGCGGTGGCCTTCAAACTCCAGGAAGCATTGTTTCTCTCAGTTTGGGAAACTGAAGTCCTAAATGCAGCAGGGCCACGCTGGCCAGCAAGGGCTCCTTGCTGGCACTGGAGATCAGGGACCTTAGTGCTGAGTGACAGTGCCACCCTGAATGTCAGTGCTCTTTGGCTTGTAGTAACATCACTTCTACGTCTTCTTCTGCGGTCTCATCATGTCCTCCATGTCTACCTGTCAGATCTCCCTCGGCCCCTGTCTGAAGATACGTGTCACTACACTTAGAGGACGCCTGGATAATCCAAGATAAATACTTCCTTTCACAATCTTTTAAATGCATGCCATTTGGCCATATAAGGTAATCATCTCTCTTTAACCATAGATATTATGAGGACAGTGATGTCTTTTGATGAAGTCATCATTCAGTGCCCTGTAACCAATAAGAAATTAGTGTGGACTACAAAGAAGAGCAGTCCCTTAAGAGGTTGGAGAGAGACCTCAAAGCCAGCAAGAAACCTGAGGCAGTCCAGGTAGGCAGAGGACAGCACAATGGTGGTGCTGGACAGAGGTGTGTTTCAACAAGGAGACAACTAGCTATGTGGCAGGCTGCTGAGTGACTTATAGCATAAGCACTCACTTAGATGGTGAGCCCACGAAGACAGAGCTATTGGTGAACTGGGCCAGAGTCCCACGCAGAGACTGATGTGCAAGAAGCTACTGCAGTCCTCAGTTCTGAGTCCAGTCTTAAGAATGTTACAGTCATGTGTGAACTGTAGGATTGTAGCTGTCCAAGTGTTTCCAATTTAAAATTTTATCTAATTATTTGCTTTTCATACAGAACAAATAACTGGATGGATGTATTGTACCAATAATTTCATTTCTTCAAAAAATTGCTATATGGACGTGGTAAAAATTCAGCAATTTTAAGGAAAACCAAGAGGGTTATGATTTTAAATTTTATCTAGGGTGCTGCCATGTTTCCCTAGGCCTCTGGTGTTCGCTCATTTCTTTGGCATTGTGTTCTGGGTCTTTTCTAAAAAGGCCCTGAGCTAAGTGCTGTGGTGGCTTAGGAATAGGCAAGAGTAGTTCTACCAGCAAAATGTCACCTACTCCTTCTGGGACGGGTCTCTGCTGTGAGTGACTCATCTGCCACAGAGCTGGCCACAGTGTTGATGGCGAGCCCTTGTCAGAGACAATGGGGCTGTCCTGGAATAATGTCTAGACCTAAATGCCAGGTTATAGGAAATAGGGCTGATAAAAGAATTCAATGAAGGCCAAGAATGTAGTCAGCCATACACTCTTGACTGAACGATGACTCAAATGATGACTTTTCAGCATGCAGAAAATGTATGTGTGTAGGTAAAAATATAGTATCGATGAAAGCAAGATCTTTTAATTTTCAATCTAGAATTAAATGACTACAAAACGAATAATAAAAATATAGGTTGTCTTTTATTTTGACTTTCTCTAAAAGCTGTATAGAAATATTCCAACGGTGTTCTCCAAAATTAATTCTGTCTTAGAGTATACCTTTAGGAGGCTTTCCTGGGTATAACTTCCCATTCGTTAAAGCTTTACTACAAGGTGGAAGTAACTAGGAGACTCATGTAATCTTACACATCTTCGTGTATTTTGTAGCAGTAAACTTGTGGCAGAAACTATTTTTTAGTTTGATTTTCTTTTAGTACAAAGAGTGAAAACAGGGCTGGGGAGATGGCTCAGTAGAATAAGTGCTTGCCTGGCAAGCACAAGGACCTGAGTTCAATTCCTGGTTTCCATAAAAAAGGAGTGAAAACAAAAGCAAAAGCAAAAACAAAGACAGAAACAAGATAACATACAACAATACATATGGTACAGATTTTCAAAGTAAAAATGGAAAATTAACAATAATTGTTATATTATGTATTTAATCATCAACTCTGTTGCTCAGATGAACAGATATGGGTATATGAGATTGGACAAATAATTGAATATTAATGTTTGCTTTCAATAAACCTTAATTTTTTCTTGTCCTTTTTAGCTTATTTTTAAAATTTATTTAAAAGAGAGTATAATTATAATTGAGAGAACATTAGAAACAGTACACATTTAGAAGACCAAGATGAGAGATGTTGGAGTGTTACTCAGCTTTAAAGAAAGAAGCTAGTCTGACTCACCTCGTCACGTGTTCTGGGTTCCTGGGTACAGCTCATCATCCTGTGCGTTATGCTGTCACCCCGTAACTAGCTCTCTCTGGCGAAGTGTGAGTAGACTTAACTTCGGGGCTGAGGAAGTCTCAGGGCAGAGTGCCTCTTCCGTCTCCATCCTTCCTGTCAAAGTGACTTTGAGGACCTCACCAGCCTCTGCCATCATGAACTAAAGAACTAGCTGTCCCTTACTTTTCTGTTCATTAGGGACAATTGTTAGTTGGACGTCGGACTTTCTCAGTTGGTCTAATTAATTCTCTTGTTTCCACTTTCTATGGATTTATTTCTTTTCCTGATTTATGGAATTCAGTTGAAATTTGGCTGATTTGACCATGTGCAGTAGAAAGTTCAGCTAAGTCATGAGAGCACAGACATTTGCAGGAGTTGTTGGCATACGCACTAATACTGTTCCAGTCAGAAAACCACATGCGTGGGAGGAGAAAAGATCTTGGGGAGTGGTATTGCACACGACCTAGCAATGCTGTTTTAGGGGAGGGCAGATTTAGAGGGCATGTTTTTCAGTAAATAAAAGATGAATGAGGGGCTGGGGAAATGGCTCAGTAGAATAAATGCTTGCCTGGCAAGCGCATGGCTCTGAGTTCAATTCCCAGTTCTTCCAAAAGAAAAAAAAAAGATGAATGACAAGACTATATATATATATATATATATATATATACACACAGGTACTTGTATAGGTAGATGTATAGGTAGATATTCGTGTATGTCATGTAGAGCCTATCCTCAGATACACGATTGTGGCTGGCCAAGTCCTCCAAATTTAAAATGTTATCTAATTATTTGCATTTAATACAAAACAAGTAATTGGATGGATGAGTCGCATCCTATTGTGTGATCCTCAGAAGGTGCATAAATCTCTGATCTGACTTCTTATCTGTAAAGTGGAAATCGTAGCTCCGACATGGTAGGTGTGTAAGAAATGCTAAGCTCCTAGAAGAGCACCCATTCTGTATAATATGGTTCTTCCTTCCCTCTTCTCCCTCTCTGCCCTTAAACTGTTTCTTTCAAGTGTTGTGATGCAGCTGACTTGTAAGTCAAAGGAATTATAGTGAGCTCAGGGCTCAGGAATGCTTTATTCTGTACGCCCTCGTGTGTTTCTCATGAGCAGTAGCGCCCTCTACCCATTACCTGGCTTGCACTGCCTGTGGGCAGCTGTGGTCTGAACATGTTAATGGGAAATTACAAAAATGAACGTGAGGTTTACATTGCTATTCCTGCAGTGTGAATTATCTTTGTCCAGTGAATTTACACTGTCTGCTGCCTGCTCCACAGCAGTTGAGAAAGAGAGAGCAACTACAATCGCATAGTTTCTATTATACTACATTATTATAATCGCTTCCCTGTCCTCTTCCTCTTCTTCTTTTTCTTTTGTAGCACTGAGAATGGGACATGCTAGTCAAACATTCCACCACTGAGCTGTACCTGAAGCCCTTCTCTACTTCATTACTTATAATTGTTAGCTTCTCATTGTTATAAGAATCTAAGTTATAAATTAAACTTTATCATGGCTATAATTATATAGGAAAACATAGTGAAGGGGAGCAAGAGGACAAAGAAGTTAAGACAGTAAATGGCGCCACATTTCCAACCCCATAATAGAATTCATCAAGGTGGGGCGAGGGTTTTATCTCCTAGGCTAGGTTTCTTTTGGGGAGCCATACCCTAGCCAGGGTCCTGCATTCCCAGCAGGCATCTGAGAATGATATCTAATCCACTCTCTGCTCTCCAGAACAGATATGGAGCTTGAACTACCCACAGGAAAGGGACTCGGTTCTTACTGCGTAAGTGTCTTTTGCATTAGCAGCAGTCCTGTGTCCAGTCGAAAGAATGAAACTGGAATTATCAAAACATAGGAGAAAGAACCAAAGATGCACTGTGAAGGCCTAGTGGTCATGTGGGTTGTTTCTGTGCCCTTCATATTCAATGAGATTGTGTATGTTTATGGAAAAGGGAAAGGACAAAAGAATCCAGGCCTGAAGAAGCTCAGACTTTTGGGGCCAGCTTGGAAGTAACAGAGTGGCCCAAGGAAAGAAAACAGGAGAATGTCCAGGAGAAGGTGGGGAAGCAGAGTTATTAAGGAAGGTGAGAGAAGAGGGAGAGGGAAAACCAAGGCCTGTGCTTCCTGACTGGCCACAGGGTCGCTCAGTTGTACAAATCATCACAGGAATCACGGAGCCCCAGGAAGTAAGTAAGCCCCAGGAAGTAAGATCAGGAGTATTGTGCTGATCACCTTGTGTTGCTCCCATCTCCTAGGTGAAGGCCTCTGATGCAGACGCAGGGCTCTACGGCTTAATTGAGTATTCGCTTTATGATGGATTCCAAAGTGATGAAGCACCTGCAGCGTTCCAGATCGACCCACGGGATGGGCAGATCTGTGTGTCTGAAGACCTTGACAGGGAGCGGGAGCCCAGCACCTTTGATCTCCTGGTGAAAGCCAAGGATGGGGTAAGTCTTTAGGTAGGGAATTTCAAACACGCTCAGGAGTGAACCACAGTGTCCACAGCAGAGTACCAATGCTTATCAACAATTAGCTAATTGTTAATCGGGCTTAATAAAGCCAGTAGCCCCCTCCCTTTTCTTTTTTGAAATGGAATCTCACTGTGTAGTCCAGGCTGGTCTTCTTCTCACTACATAGTCAGGGTGACCTCAGATTCATGATCCTCCTGCTTCAGCCTTCCAAGTGCTGGGATGACAAGTGTATGTGACCATACCCAGATCACCTCTCTTCCTGCTCTTGCTGGAGGTCTTTGACACAAACACTGGAGATTATATCATTTTATCTAGCAATAATTAAGTAATATGTCTAAGAGATGACTTTGTAAAAACATAACTAGAATACATTACTAATTTTTTTGATGACATGTGATATTCATTGCAGGCTTACTTTTCTAGGTTATTTAAACATATCTTTTAATAACTGATTGTTTGAATCCTCATCCAAATAAGTTCACAAATTGATTGGATTGCTAGAGCCTTTACCTCCCAGTCTGTTCAGTCAGTCTTTGCCTTACCTTCAGTGGCATTTAGAACAAAGAAATCAGGTCAATTGTCCTGTACATTTGCCACATGCTGCATATGGTTGATTCTACCTTTGGATTCACTTAACTTGTTCTTTTGTCATTCCTGTTTCCTATAAATGGGCATGTAGGGCTGGGAACCTGGTTAGTGTCAGATTCATTTAGGTAAGGCCATGTGCCTCCTACTTCATAAGCAGGTGCACATCATCACTTTTGTACAGAGGTGATTTCCAATTCTACTACTCCTTATACATTCACTCTCTGGAATGCTTAAGGTAAAAGAGCACTTACATCCATTGTTTTATTGTCCTGCAATGTAATCGATATAGGAAAGTTGGGATAATGTTTATATCTCTTTACTTTACCAATTTTTAGAATAACATACAAGTGCCTTAATATCCCAAAGGTGATTAGTGTATCTTTTCTGTGTGATTACAAACTTCTGGATTCTACGTAATTGATCGGTGTCAATGCATGCCTAATCTTACCCTTTCTGTTATATACATTGACCCAACTTTTATTGGTCAAGGTATCTTCAATCTTGTTCTTTTTTTTTTTTTTTCAGTTTGTAGATTGACACAGCTAGATTCCATTCTAGTTGCTTAGATTTATAAAAGTGAGCAAATTATAATTGGGAAGCTACACATATTTCTGCAAAATGAACACACTCAGAGAAGATGAAGAAATGAGACAAATACTCAAAGCCCCTTTCTAGCTATTTGCTGTAATTTTCTTCCCAACTTCTTACTACCTGTGTCTTTTAAGGGTTGATAGTGGTTACTGTCAACTTATAGTAGTAAATGTTAGTATGCTGATTTCTTAACTTTTAATGAATGGGATCATATCATATGCATTTCTACTTAATTTATTTTCCTGAACATCGTTTGTGAGTCATGTGTGCTGTTATGTGTAGAAATAAATCATACATTTCCATTGGTTTATATGTACAATAGGCCCTTCTGTACTGTGTGATAATTTTCTATCTGATGATATCCATTTTAGGTAATTAGAAATGCTGTTACTGACATTTTTTTAATATCAATTTTTTTAACTGATGCACAAAGGCATAAAAATTGTGCCTACAAGTGGAGTGGCATGTGGTGTTGTGATACTGGCATACATTATGTAAGTTTCCAGGAAGTTAAGCATATTCATCTCCTCATACATTTATCACTTCTCTATAGTGAAATCATAGTCTTTCCATTTTTTGAAGAGTTCAGGGTCTAATTGCTGTCTGTCGGTACTCAACTGTGCAGCAGTGCAGCAGTTTCATTCTCCCGTCCAACTGTTGCTTACCCTCTGTGCAGCGCTCCCCACTTGTCCCCTGTCTCCCTGGTCTCCCCATCTCCCTAGTTTCCCCCCCACCCCACCTCCCTGGTCTCCAGTAGCACTACCCTGTTTTGAATTTCTATGAGCTCACTGTCTTTGGAGCCCACATTTGCACGAGATCATGATCACTTACTTGTCTTTCCCTGCCTGGTTTATTTCACTTGACAGCATGATCTCCAGTTCCATCCATGTGCTTGCAAATGACAGTCTTCCATTCTGTTTTCTTGATGAATATTACTTCATTGTTTATAGGCACCACATATTCTCACCCAGTTATCAGCCGGTGGACACTTGGGTTCTTTCCACTTCTTGGCTGCTGTGTGTGGTATAACACTGAACACAGAAGTGCAGGTGTCTCTTCGATAGACTGACTCATTTCCTTTGGCTATACACCTGATGGTGGGACTGCTGAGCCACACTGCAATCCCATTTCTAATGTTTTGAGGACATTCCACAGCGGTTTTCCACAATGGGCATGTACATCCTTCTCCCCACGTTGCCTTTAGCTGTGTTGTTTCATTGTAGTAGGCATTACTACTGTGTTGATATACTGTCATGTTTTGATTTTGTTATGCAGTTCCTTAATGATTAGTGATGTTGATCATTTTTCATATGTCTATTGGACATTTGCATGCTTTCTTTTGAGATGTGTCTAAGTCTGTTGTCTCTTTTTTTTAAAAAAAATTCAGATTATTTTTGTTGCTGTTTGTTTTTGCAGTTGAAACTTGAGGATTCTTTATATATTCTGTATATCAACCCCTTATCAGATGTGTTTTGGAAGTATTTTATTCCATTCTCTAAGCTATGTTTGTACTCTGTTGATGGTTCCCTTTACCATGGAGAAAAGTTTTTAGTTTGATATAATGCCATTTGTCCATTAACATTCTTATCCTTTGGATTTGATCAACAAAAATAAACAGTTCTATTGAGTATGTATTCAGGAGTGGAATAGCTAGATTGTAACAAACCCAAGCAACTTTTCAGTGTGGTTAATTAGCATATACTTGATCAATAGACTGTGACAACTGCATTTCCACTGCATTCTCTCTCAACAATTGATATTTGTTTTTTTTAAATTATGGTAATTCTAGTTATCTATTTAGTAATGTATTACATTGGGCTTTTATTGTGCATTTTCTTGATGAATAATGAATTGGGCACTTCCTCATGTGTTTATTGGCATGTATGTAACATTTTGAAACAGGCTTATTCTTTACCCATTTTCCATAGAGTTGCTGTTTTCCTTATTGCTTTGTATGAATTCTTTATATATTTAGATTGCAAGTCCTTTGTTGGATGGACTTATTGCATGCATTTCTCCCAATCTGTGGATTGCCATTTCTTATCCTTCATTATGAAGGACAAGAGTTCTTTCTAATAGAACTCAGTTTATTCATTTCCCTTTAGAGGTGGTGCCTTGTGTGTCCTTTTAGCAAGCATTTGCTGACTTCAAGGACATGAAAGGGCTCTCCACTGTTTTTTTTTTTATGATATTGGTTCATAGGTCACTTCTATAAACTTTTTTTCAATCTAATGAAAGAAAGTTTTATTGTTTCCTTCAAACAGTCAGTTCAACAACATTTATTTATTTATCTATCTATCTATTTATTTATTTATTTTGGGGGAGCCTGGGATTGAACTCGGGCCCTTGCACTTGCCAGGGAAGCACTTATTCTACTGAGCTATCTCCCTAGCCTTCAACATTTATTGAAGCAGGCTTTCTTTCTTCGGCGCCCTGGCCTGTCACTGCTGCCATCGGTCACATGGCTGTGCATGAGTATTTCTACTCCTCACCCTCCTTTGTGACCTATGAGTCTGACTCAGTGCCAACAACATAGTCTTTCACTTATTTTGCCTTCATAATATACCACAGTGTTATGTATTCTTGCTTTGTCCTTATTCAAGATTGATGACTATTTCTGACTGTTTACGTTTGCAAATGCATTTTAGAAGTGTTTCCTTCAGGTACATTGCATTCTCACAAAGGCATTCTAGTGCACATATTGTTCTACATTTTGATTTTCTTCTCACTTCCTGCATGTTAAGGTGTTACTTTTTTTGTTACTTAACTTTTTTTTTTTTTTTTTCAGAACCGGGATTTGAACTCAGGCCTTGTGCTTGCCAGGCAAGCACTTATTCTACTGAGCTATCTCCCGCTCCCACTTAGTATTTTTGAGAGACTTTCAATGTTTCTTTTTAATCTACTTACTACTCATTTGTATAAATGCATGCTACTAACAGTTCTCTGGTCTAATTTTTCTCTCTTGAAATTGTTGAGAGAATCTATCTACTTGAAATGAATTATAGGGGTAAGAAAGTCAAATAACATTTATCACACATGAAAATACAAACATGAAAGGAAAATCATTTATATTCAATAAAATACCCCTGATCTATCTGGTTGGATGTTTGTCAACACCTCACTATGTGATTTCAATAATATCTGATTCTGTGTAAGAAAATATGTCAAAGACAAAAACAGAGATAAGCAGAAGAGTTCAAGTTTATTCAAGTCTATGTGATTATTCACATAGCAAGTATATGCACACACAAGTATTAATCCAAGGCTTTAGAAATGTAATCTTAATAGATTCTGAGGCCATTCTAAATGGCCATCTGAGACTGGAATGAAAGATTAAATCAATTCTATAGTAACTGAACATCTTTTTCTAATTAGTGGGTTTCAAATGATCTTATGATTGTGGATATGAAAGTGATCTTTACACAAATAAGATAATTTGGCTCATAAATACTTAACTTTCCTGCTCAAAAGGATGTGTTAATTAGAAGTATTGGGAGTGGAATAAAAAAAGACATCCTAGATATTTAGCTAAAACTCCCTTCCTTGCTTCTTCTGTGTTGAACCTCCTCTGCAGACCGGTGCTGTGAAGGACAGAGCCCATGTTGCCTCCCTTAAGTGCACCTTCAGCCACTCCATAACCTCCATAAAGCTTCCCGGACTGAACACCCGGGCTGTGTTTCCAGTTCTCTGCCAAAACATTCATTATCTTGATAGTAACTAAGGAAGTCAACTCGACAGACATGGCAACCCTTGCTAATTTCTAGAAATCAAAAGACACAAGTTCAAGGCTGATCATG